AATACTCCGCAATGCTCTTTATCATCGGACATACCTCGGAAACAATTCATGCTAGAGCCTTAAAATCCAATTTTCTGTGCCCTGCAAGGAAAACAAGTTATATTTTATACTGTAATACATGAAATGGGATTTTCGAACATAATATTTCTTTTTTTGTTTCGTCATTCCGGATCGTCTGACACGCTGAAAGTTGGGTTTCGCTTTCATGTTCACTATTAAACCAATGATTCTGTTTTTTGTAGATTGAAACGTTTTTGCCTTTGCCGAAAACCTTTTTTCTATTTCATTATTTGGGGTTTCGCTCTTCGGGTACTAGCTCTTAAGGATTCCCTGTTTCATCAGGGGAAGGCCCAATTCCACACGCCACCGAAATGTTAGAAAAGTATTTCACAATAAAAGAAAATAGTTGACTTAAGGTTATGAATTTATCGTTTAATTTTCTGACTGACAAGTGTGGGAACATGTAGTGTACTTGTGAGGAAGATTTGGAAGAAAATGTGAATGAACATTCGTGGGCCCATTGGGGGAAATTTGGGGAAATATTTGGGGGAACGTGTGGAAGAATATTTCTGGGTATATTTGGGAGAACATGTTGGAAATATTATGGAGAACATGTAGGAACTTGTGATGAGCATGTAAGAAAACGTATAAAGGACCATTTGGGGAACGTGCAAAGGTAGGAGATACATGTGTATATGTTAAGGATCGTGTGGATGACATGCGAAGGAACATTTGTTAACATGCGAGGGGAATATTGTAACCTTACGCAGGACCCCAGGCCAATGAACTGTCAAAAATAAATATTTTGGTTTAGGGAAATAATGTTTTAGTCAATAAGTCACTAAAAAAATTGACAACGTGAAAATTGAATCGAATTGTATTTACTGGTTAAATAACAGAGGAACTTTCGAACTAGAAAAAAAGTGTTAGGAAAATAAACAATTTTAAGAATCATCAATTTCGAAAAGGCGGCACAAAAATTCAGAAGGAAAACTTACTAGGCAGAAAGATACACGTAAAGACAGTTGAATATAGACTCTAATGAGCTTTCGAAGTAAGTTAGAATTTCAGAATAGAAGAAATAAATAAGAATTTCAGCAAAGCAGGTGGAACAGAGGGCAATAAACGTTTGCGAACTCGGCAAATTCAGAATGCCAAATCAGAATAGAGGTAACGAAAATATAAAATGTTCCAAAAGATCTCGGTGACAGATGAAAGCGAGTGTTTTTGTTTTGTTGAAAAAAACAATCGAAACACCAGACTGACTGGAGATAACATAGAGGGATGATAGATGGCGAGCCGATAACATGGTGTGGTATGTGTTGGCTAGTTTTCATGTCTTTGGAGGAGAGTGCATTTCTTCAGAGAAGCTGGCGGCTAAAGGGATGTGAACATTCGGCAGATATTACCCGCGCGTACGGCACATATTTTATAGGAAGGCCAAGTATTGTATTGGATTTTTGTAAAACTCGAAACAACGTAGATGGCCATTACAACTATGACGTGCACGGTGTGAATGTGAATAGCGTAAATAGTTTCTCAGTAAGTGTGTGTGTTGAATTAGATATTTTTTTATTGTAAAAAGAGGGGGAAAGGTTTTTTTTTGTTTTTGTATGTACTGATTTTCTCGGCAGCGTCAGGGAGGAAAGTGTTCACGCCGCCGAATAAATAAGCGGTACCGCTGAATACGGCGCTGAATGTAAATTGAACAAAGGTTATTTTTCCTTTGGGTTGTAAACAAAGATAATTTCCCTGTCCATTACCAATAGGTAATGAGAAATATCATCATCCCTAGCCTGTGCATGGGGAAATTTCAGTCCCGCGACCCATTATAGATTTTCCAGTGGCACGCCACTCGTGCCGGAAGTATTATTTAGTTTAAAATTAGTAATAAAGTGAGAGCTTGGATAGCAAGGTAATACGTAAATCCGGTAAAGAATTAATTGTAATGAATACAGAGGTGCGACAGGACGGCCACAATAAATTGGGAATCGTATAGGGAACATGCGAGGGTCGGGTGGAGCGAAGAAATAATTGAAGATCTGGCTCCTCTGTTGACTTCTACTCTGAGACAGTGTGGTCAGAAACGAGCAGAAACACTAAAATCTATGTAAAATTAAAATGACTTTAATAAGCCCTACTTGATAGATCCCAAAATGCTTATCAGTGTGCAGTTCACGTTCTGACCTCAAGTTGGGATCCTGTATGAAGCAATTTTCACTTTCAAAACAGTGATTTACAATATACTAAATCTTCGCACGGTTCCAATTGGTAATATTTTGTATTTGATGCAAATATTAAGGGAAAGTATATTTTGTAGCTTCTCTAGTTTCGTTGTTGTGACTAAAACATTACGTGAAAACAAAAAATAATATAATCCCTTAGAAAACCTGTATGTAGGGTATCAGTTAATGAGTCGAGTAGACTCACGTCAGGACTTTATGGTTACGCAATGACATTTACGCGTTTAATGTACAGAAAGATTGAAATCAGTTATTTAACTTACTTTTTACTTACAGTTAATCGAATTCTTAAAATAGGACACATTAGCCAGCACAACAATTACAAGAGATAAGAAACTAGTTCAAACTGCCGTAATAGAAGGGATAATAGTACTGAGTACTCTACATGATAATATATTACACACACACACACCACACACACACACACACACACACACACACACATATATATATATATATA